GGAAGTAGAAGAATGGGGGAGTGGGGGAGGGGAAGGTTGGCCAGCCATCTAGGCAATCAATGAGCTGAAGGTTCACTGAGAGACCCTGTCTCAAAAAATAAGGAAAGGCCGAGCGGTGGTGGTGCACGCCTTTAATCCCAGAACTCGGGAGGCAGAGGCAGGCGGATCTCTGTGAGTTCGAGGCCAGCCTGGTCTACAAGAGCTAGTTCCAGCATAGGAACCAAAAGCTACGGAGAAACCCTGTCTCGAAAAATCAAAAAAAAAATAAATAAATAAATAAGGGAAGGGGGGATAAAGGACTCAGTGCAGCCTCTGGCCTCTGAACACACACACACACACACACACACACACACACACTCCATACACATATTATTGAACTGAGTATGGTATTGAATACCTATAATGCCCGAAGTTGGGAAGTAGAGGCAGAAGGATCAGAGTTCAAGATCATCTCCAATCTTTCTCTTCTCAGGAGGGGCTGGAGAGCACCTAGCAGGAGCATCTTAATTTGTCTGAAGAGGGTGGAGAATGGTGGTAGGAGAAGATATACCTCTGAGATAGTCTTGTCTTAAAGAGAAAACCATCTAGGGAAATAAAAGTGGAGGTAAAAAGTTGAGAGAAAAAGCAAGGGGGCTTCTCCGCCTAGAGCAGTGGTCCTCAACCTTCCCAATGCTGTGATTCTTTAATATAGTCGGCCCCTCACATTGCGGTGACCCCCCACAATAAAATTATTTCATTGATACTTAATAACTAATTTTGCTACTGTTACGAATTGTAAATATCTGATACGCAGGGTATCTGATATATGACCACTGTAAAAGGGTCACTCAAGCCCCCCCCCCCCACACACACACACAAAAGGAGTCAGGGGTTGAGAACCACTGACATAGAGACCCAAGCACATAAAATGGCCAGGGAAGCAGGGTAAACAGGAAGAAAGCAGAGTAGGGCGAGAAGAGAACAGGGGAAAGGAGTCTAAATGGGAGGTAGAGGACTGAGTTGGTTTGAATAAGATGCCCCCCAGATTTCTGGGCATTTGAGTACTTGATCTATCCCATGTTGGTGGAGGTCTGGAGAAGCTTAAGATGGGTGGCCTTGCTGGAGAAAGCCTTACTAGGGGCAGGCTTTGAGATAGCAAAGCCTTCCATCACATCAGCTCTCTCTGCTTGCTGTCTGCCATTTAAGATGTGAGCTCCCAGCTGTTCCTTGTAGCCTAGCCTGCCTGCTGCCACGCTTCCCTGCTATGATGCTGATGGACTCTCATCCCTCTAGAACTGTAACCCTGATGTGGGTTTCCCCTCTGCATGCTATGAATATGTTTTATTGCCATTGGCTAATAAAAAAGCTGCTTTCGGCCAAGGCTTAACAGAGTAAAGTCAGGCAGAAAATCCAAACAGAATGTAGAGAGAGAGTAGGCAGAGTCAAAGATGCCATGTACCCACCGAAGGACTCAGAAGCCCTGGAACCTTGTCAGTAACCACGAGTCTCATAAAATACAAAATAATGAAAATGGGTTAATTTAAGATGTAAGAGCTAGCTAGAAATACACCTAAGCTATTGGTAATTAATACAGTTTCTGTGTGATTATTTTGGGTTTGGGAGGCTGGGAACAAATGAGCAGCCTTCTCCAACATAACCCAAAATAAACTCTTTTCTAAGTTGTGTTGGCCATGATCTTTTATCATAGTGACAGAAAAATGAACTAAGGGGGCTGGAGAAATGGCTCAGTGGTTAAGAGCACTGCCTGCTCTTCCAAAAGTCCTGAGTTCAATTCCCGGCAACCACATGGTGGCCCACAACCATCTGTAATGAGATCTGATGCCCTCTTCTGGCCTGCAGGCATACATGCAGACAGAATATTGTATACATAATAAATAAATAAACAAATATTAAAAAAGAAAAAAAATGAACTAAGACCCAAGTGTGTACCAGGGAGTAGGGTATTGCTGTGAGGGCCTGGGTGTGTGTTTTCTTTTTGTTTGCTTGGGTCTTGTCAGAACTTGTAGTGATATTTTATTTGTGTTTTAACAAATAAAGCTTGCCTGAAGATCAGAATGCGGAGCTAAGCCACTAGAGTTCAGGGAGTGGTGGCACACACCTTTGACCCCAGGACTCACGGTCTCCCTGGGTTACGCAAGATTGAATCTGCCTAAAAAGAGAAATAAGATTCACACAAAGGTGCCCCCAGCACTCAGGAGATACACAGCTTTAATCACGGCACTAGGGAGGTGGAGACAGAGTGATATGGCTGGGTAGAGAGAGGAATATAAGGTGGGAGGAGACAAGTGCAGTCTGAAGTTTGGTGACGAGCGTGGCAGTCTGCAGTCACTCTGAAGACAGGATCGCCGCTTTGCTTGTCTGAGCCTTGGTAGAGATAAGAACTCTCTATTGGCGTGGCTGCTTTGCTTTTCTGATCTTTAGCTTGAACTCTAATATCTGTCTCTGGGTTTTTATTAATCATGCTACAGGGACTGCCAGCTCACAAAAAAATGACACGAAGACTTAATAATTATGAATGCTTAGCCTTAGTTTAGGCTTGTTCCTAACTAGCCCCCCCCCCCCTTTGGTTTTTCAATACAGGGTTTCTCTGTGTAGCCTTGGCTAACCCTGAACTCACCCTGTTGACCAGGTTGGCCTCAAACTAACAGAGATCTGCCTGCCTCTGCCTCTCGAGTGCTGGGATTAAAGGTGTGTGCCACCACAGCCCAGCTCTAACTAGTTCTTACAACTTAAATTAACTCATTTCTATTCATCTACATGCTTTAATGGCTTTTACCTCTCTTCCTGCATGTCTTGCTCCCTTTGTGTCTGGCTGGCAATTTTTGTCTTTCTTCTTTGAGACCTCTCTGTCCCCAGAAGTCCTGTCTATCTGTTGGCCATTCAGCTCACAGTGACTCATCTTCACACCGCATAAAGGAATATTCCACAAGAGATCCTGGCTTTAGTCATGAAGGAGATATAAGTAAAGGGATTATAGAATCTTCCTACATGGTTTCAGAGAGCCACTGAAGTCAGGCATATGGCAGAAAAGTCCTTTTGTGGAGGCCCTCAAAGGCTAGTGTGTGAAGTTGTGGAAGTGAGGCCACAGTTACAATTTAGACCCCAAGATGTTGGAGATGCCAGAGCTGTGGGAAATCTGCCAAGGAGAGCTGCCCACAGGGAGTAGATGAACCCAAGAGAGAAGAATGTGTACAGCAGCAGAGCTGGAAGGGCGGCGACATCCCACAAGGAGATGGAGAACTTTGGAGTTTGCCCTGCTAGGCTCCACACTTTCTTTACTCTAGTGTTTTCTCTCCACACCTCCATCCCTCCCTTTTGAAATGGATGTATAGGTTTTGTGCCACTGAACGCTAGAAGTACGTCATTTCCTTTTGGATTTTACAGGAGGTTACAACTGAGAGATTGCCTGGAGTCTCAGAACAGAGTTTAGAATTTTTGAAAATGGCGTTGAGACTAAAAGACTATGGGGACTTTTGAAGTTGGACTAGATGCATTTTGCATCATTACATGGCCGCAGACTAGAGGTGCCAGGGAGTGGGATGTGGTGGTTTAAGCATTTGAGTCTTTAGCCCTCTGTGGGTGGTGCTATTTTGGGGAGGGGGTCCGGGAGCTGTCTCCATGGAGGAAGTGGGTCACTGGGGAGTGGGCTGGAGGTCCAAGTCTCTCCCCATCTCCAGTTCTCTGCTTGTTTGCTGTTCAAAATGTGAGTTCGCGGCTGTTCCTGCTGCCATACTTACCTGCGGCCACACTTTCCCACCACAATGGCCATCAAACCATAAGCCCCAAATGAATCTTCCTTCTCTATGTTAGCTTGGTCGTTGAGTTTTAATGCAGAAGTAGAAAAGTAACTAACACAGGGACCCATCAGTGGAGACAGAAAGGTTGAACTTCAGGCTAAACTGAGTTACCCAAGGGCCCATTCCGGTTTGCATTCTTGCTCCGTGGCTTCCACTCTCTTCCCACATGGTTAGCCACCCGGCAAACAGGAGAGATACTGCAGCATCAGGGTGGACCAGGGTAGTGGCATGGAGTAGGTGATGGTGGAAGAGGGTTCCGTGACTTGCTAGGGAGGGGCAAGAGTTCAGGATGACTTCAGGCAGTTCTGTCTTGCCCACCTAGCAGGGCTTCCGCGTCACTCCCGGAGCTACTCGGCACAGGGTGGACACATTTGAACTTGGGTATTGAGTTGACCTTCCCAGGAGCCACCCAATACAAAGTGCTCACTGTTAGTCCCCCACCCTCAACCACACCCACATCAAAGCCTTCTTATCTGGTCTCTTTTTGCCCAACAGTGGAAACTTTACCCTTCTATGGTCCCATATCCATGTGAACAATAGAAGGGTACTATGGTTATGGATTTTCAAATTTTCATCACCCCATGTCCCCTTGAGTAGAAACCTTTATTTATTTATTTATTTTATTTTTGAGCACCTACTATGAGCTTGGGAAACAATTCCATAGTCATTGCATCTGTCTCAGTTCATTCAGAATCAGGCCATTCATGCAGAATGCTTATGGTTGGTGACCAATGAAAAGCAATTAACAAACGACACAAAAATCAACTGTCTTTTTCTTTGCGTATTTTACTCAAATAAACCACCCAAGACCCCCACCACTTACACTTTAATAGAGGATATTATGAAGGTATATGAACCAGTGAATTCAGGGTCTCCTCAGGACAGGCAATTTCAATGTTGGATGTTACCGGGTTCTAGTTTTATTGTACTGTGCAGTTTTATTAAGGAACGGGGAATCTATGTATCACTATGTTTTAAGTAGTACCATGCCTGGATGAGGCATCAAAGTGAGAATGGTGAACTTAAAGGGCCTTTAAAACATCTTGAAGCAATAACAAGCCACAGACTGAAGCCGGGTTGTTTTAAAACATTACACAAAACTAAAACAATTGAACCAATTTGTCCTTTGTTCTTTTTATTGCGTTCCTTATTACATTAATACTGTTTTAAAAATGAAACTCAAAGGCATCAGACTCTCGCACCAAGCTACACGAAATCGTTCTTGCACGGGTCTGATTCGGACAGAAAAGTGCCTCGAGGCTGCTGGCCTTCTAACGCTGTGAAAGGAAAGGTCGCGGGGCTAAGCCCCGGGCCAGCCTGAGCTCTCGCTCCAGGTGGGAGGAGGATCTGCCCGAAGTTTGCTAAGTTTTCTGGCAGCTGTGCAGAGCCACGGCCGCTTTTTTGCTTCAGGGCAGGCGGGGCCTGCGGGAGTTGCACGCCTCCGGGGGTCTCCACCTTTCCAAGAAAAGTCCCTCTGGGCTGGAGGCGCCCCCGGGGTCACCCCTGCAGGGCAGGAGAAAGGACAAGAGCGACCCCAGAGTTCCGGAACACAGAGCGCCAGCGCAAAGGCAGCAGCGCGACCCTGTGTCCTGGGCAGCGAGCGCGTTAGGAGCCGCCGCGCTCTCCGACGCCGGGGACTCGCGTCCTCCGCCGCGACACCCCGCTCCACCGCCCTCCTGCGCTCCGCCCGGGAGGGGCCGCCCTTCCCGCGGGAGCCAGAGATTGACATCTCCGCTCCCCCTCCTCGGCTGCACAGCCAGTCCGGGCTGTGTGTTTTGGAAGCGGTGCTACGGGGCCGCGAGCTGAGTGACGCCGCGAGCGGCCAGCGCCGCCCTTCCTTCCCCCCAGGGCTCGGGCGGCAGCGGGGCGGCCCGGTCGGCCAGGGCGGGGCGCGGGCTCTGGGAGCAGGGCGCGGGGCGGAGCGCTCGGCCGGGTGGAGGCCCAGGGTGGAGAAGCCGGGCGGGGGCTGCTCACGCCCAGCCCCGAGGCCGCGCCGCGCCTCGCGGGACAGGTCGAGCCGGCGGGGCGGCGCCCGGCTCCGGGGAATAATGAGTGTCTGTCAGGCCGGCCCCGGGTGACTGGGCGGGGCGGGGGCGGGGGCGGCGCGGGAGGCGGGGGCGGGGAAGGGCAGGGCGGGGTGCGTGTTTGCCAGTGACTCGCCGACCCCTCCGGCGGCTGCCTCCACCCAAGTGGGTGGGGACCCCTCCCAGCCCCGGCGGCTGCGGCGGCTCCCGCTGCCCCTCCCTGACCCTCCCACCCCGGCTCCCAGCCTCTACTTACCCCGCCAGCCCCGGGGAGGCTCGCAGAGCGAGCGGCGCCGGCGTCATGTGACTGCCCGGAGTAGGTGCCAAGGAGCCAGAGGGGAGCCGGGAGCCGAGCCGCGCGGAGCCGCGGCCCGAGCGCAGTGCGAGCGCCTGCCGAGCCGACCCCACCCGCGCGCCCGTGCGGTCGTCGTCCCTGTCCCCGACGCCGTTCGGTCCGGAGCGCTTGACCTGCCTGCCCGCCCGCGGGGTTCCGGGCGCCGGGGAGCCGGGCCTGGGTTTCCCGGCCGCTGCGCTTGGCACCGCGCTTGGCAGAGTAAGTCCCCGCGCCCTCACCTTGCCCTCCTGCGCCCCGCTTGGCGCCGCATCTGCTTGCTTCTCTTTTTTTATTTATTTTTTTCTCTTGGAGAAAGCGGGGCGCGGAGAACGGGTACAGGGTGCAGCGAGGGCGCCTCCGGGCTTGGGAAAGTGCATCGGAGCCAGGGTGGAGGAGCGAGGGGGAGGGGATGGCGGGCCGGATCGTGGGATGAGGGGACCCGGTGGAGTGGGAGCCCGCGGGCGGGGTTCACCTGTGTGGTCCCCGGCCTCCCGCGCTGGGCTCCCTTCGGTGCCCCCGGAGCACCCCGCGTGCGGCCGCGTTGGAGAGAGCCAGGTAGCTGCGGGGCCGCGCGCCTGCTCCTCCCCCTCCCACCCCGACTCGGGGGTCCCTCCCCCTGCCCGCGCCCCCAGCTGCTGCCTGCCCCAGCAAACTTGGAGCCCAGCCTCAGGCGCCCCTGGCGAGAAACTTGGGGGCGATTGGGACTTGAGGAGCATCTCCATCTTGGTACCCAGAGCGGGCGAGCTGCCGGATCATTTGGCTTGGGGAGGGGTAGAGGGGGAGGAAAAGAACCTAGAGTCTGCCTTTGGGGACTTAGAGAACCTGCCGCAATGCCTGAAGCAAAGGATTGCAGCTCGGCTGGCTGTGGAGAGCGCCTTCTGTGTTAGGGAACCGGAGCCGCGTAGGGACCCACAGGACAGTTGTGTGGACCAGTACCCTAACATTTCAGAGTGGCTAGCTTGGAGGTGGCAGATAAGAATTGGAATTGTCATACCCACGTCTTTGGCAGATAACAGAAACACTTGTGTAAATTTTCCTGCAGGACACAATAGTAGTAGTTAAATGAGACTTTGGATAATTCAGGCTAAATGGACACTGAAAATTGTTCGCCTTGTGTTTCTTCAAAAATAAACATTTTACATTTACATTGGAATCGTTGAGATTTTATTCTAAGAATCAAAAAATTTTTTCCTCTAATATTGTCCAAGATACTTTGTTCTCGAGAGAGTCTGGTGTATGGGAAAAGTATGAATTTTGGTATTCTGCGCTCATTTAGATTTAGACTCGTGTTACTAGGCAAAATTAGGTGAGCATGGGCCGGTTGTTGATAAATGAGTATTTATGCATAAATTTGAGGTGCATTTTTTTTAAGTGAATTCTGCTTGCATGATAATGCCCCTCACCCCAGGGAAGTCTTTAGGAGGGAAAAAGCTATGCAACATAAACATTCTAATTTTGCAAGTTGCGGTGTTTGGAAGAACGATCCCTCTGAGTTATTCCTTGGCTTAAACGTACCTTAGGCTGTTAATGGAATCCTGAAAGAAGATGTTTGATTAATTTAAGTTCCCTGGAGAAAAGCTGCAGACCGACGGCATTGCTTAAGTCCTAGGAAGGTGCATTGTGGAGATGGTTTGGCTGCCGTGAAGGGAAGCACAGTGTAAGAACTGAGATGTGAGAATAACAAAGAAAAGTAGCTGCTTGGGTCGCCAAGCCTTGTGCCACAGGAAACTCCGTAGCTGTGGGGAAAGCTATTGTCTTTTTGGCTGCGAAGTTTCTACATTAAAATCCAGTCTTGTTGCTATGGGCACAGTGATGCCTTTTCCCTCCCCCAACCCTTTTCCTTTTTTACCTGTAGTTATGTCTAGGTACCAATCCTTAAGTCTCTGATAATGGAAACCTGAGTTGAGTTAAACCATCTTGGCTAACAAAAGTATAAAGGAAAATACGGCAGGAGGGGCTTTAAATTGGCTTTGCTACCTTAAGAATACCTAAAAGAAAGTAGACATTGATAGAATATCTATCTGGGCCAGAAATGGTGCTGCGGTTTGTGAATTGCCAAGCACTTCTGGAGTAAATGAATTGCCAGGAGTAAAAATAATCACATTCCCCAAAAGGGGGAATTTGGAGAACCAGTGAGTAGCGGTGTCCTTCTCTACATTTGAAAAAGAATGAAATTTTCAAGTGGCTACATAGCCAAAGTCTGGGTCTTCAATTTAGTTTTGACCAAGGGAGGCTTTAACTTGGTCCAGCTTGACTTTGTAGGGTAACCCAGCTGTAACCTGGATTCCTAAGGCAATGCTCTCTTCTGCTTTTCCCCAGCATGCATGGTGTCTGCCTCGAATTGTTATCCCAGCATAGAGTTTGGTCAGGGCTGGGGGCTACTACTGGCCCTTGGGACCTGGCTGAAAGGGACAAAAGAAATCGGGAGGGAGGCTGGCACTGGGTATTTTGGGAGGTCTCTGCAGCTTGAAGATGATTATCACGTGTGCACTCGGGGTGTTTACTGGGTGGCAGCTCCTGTTTGTAAATAGGGCAGGTCCCCTGTAGAAAGCTGGTGCTATTATTCACACCCATAGAACAAACACCTCCACCCCCCTGTTGTTGTCTTAAAAAACTCCAGCTGCTCATGAATATAGGGTCAGGGAGGGCCGGCTAAATGTTTCTCTGCGCTCTCTCTCCAGCACTGCCGGCCGGGCTGTTTCCTGTTCTTTGTTTCAAGGCTGGGCTTTGCGTCATACATTCCAAGTGGCATATGTGTGCTCTTTCCTGTTTCAGGCTGTTTTCTGGTCGATCAGTAGCCTAAACCAGGCCATGGTCCCTGCCCCTCAACTCCGTATCCCCACCCAGGAGTTATCATGTCTCTACGCCATGATTGCTTAAGATGCCTGTGTTATGTCATAATGAGAAGTCAGTTAACCTTTTGGCACACACCCCTTGTTCCACTGTTGATGGGGGCAAATCAATACTTTTACCTTTTAAGACATATTCTATCGTTGGATTATGATGTGGGGGAATTCATGGGCATGCTGACACATCTGAAGGAAGTTGTTTTTGTGATTTTCCTGGGAAGATGGGTAGAGCTCTGGTTTTAAGATGGGCCCATTGCCCTGAAGCTGTCAAATTTAGATCAGGATTGACAACAAGAGTTGAAGACCTAGCCTTACGCGAAAGCTGGGACCCACCCTTGTTCGTTCTCACTGGGCTGCCCAAGGTGGGCCCTGGGGATGGAGAATTTAAATATCTTGGCCACCTGGGCTGAGTTGGAAAGTCTTGCTTGTTTTGAAGGAGAAATCTCTAGAAAAATTATTCAAGCTAAGCATGGCATTTATTGAGGAAGAAAAAAAAAGTCCCAGGGTTATTTCTTTTAAGGATAAAGATTAAACCAACAGAACAATTTTTTTTTTTTTTTAGGGACAAAGAGGTTACTCTATCCTAGAGTTGATTTCCAGCCCATTTTGAGAATAAAAATCTTAAGGAAAAGAAGAGCTAGGTGCTGGTTGGTTTTCTTTAATGATAGTTTGGAAAATTGTAATCTTGTTTTGAAAACAGAAAGATGTCTTTCATAATATCAGTTTTTCAGTCCTTCACTGTGGCTTCATCAGTCGGGATAAACTATTTAAAACCTACTGCAACAAGGTTTTGGGTATTTTCCCCCTCTGAACTCTTGAAAAACTTTTTTTTTTTAAAAAAAAAGGGGGGGGTTGGGGGGGACTTTTATGTGTTTTTTTACAAACTTACTTGGGGATTTTCTTTTAAACCCTAAAGGAATGGTCTACAATGATGCCTGGTGGAGCTAATTCAAGAGATACTAATACAGAATCAGGCCTGAGGTAGTTAATATCCCAACCTGCTGGCCTTACGCAAGGAAAATATACAGTGATCCAAAGTGAAGTGTCCCATCTGCTTCATGCCCAGAAGTTACCAGAGCCAAACCGTTGGTTAGTGATGCCTTCCCTGAAAAATCTTGGGAGTCCTCGAAATTCTCAGGGTTGGTTGGGTTTCTTTTTTTCCTTCTTCCTTGGAACAAGGCAACTTGAAATATTAAGCTGATTTGTAGAAAAAGACCTTTAAGCTGAAGTTCATAAGTCATCCAAATTGAAGCAGGGCTTATTTTTTGTTTTTTGTTTTTGTTTTTATTCCAGAGTTTTTATTCCAACTATATAGGGTCGACAGTCTTGATGGGGTTTTCTCCAGATCATTCTTTCTGCTTGGGTGGGGACAGGGAGGCGGCTAATATGATTGATTAGGGTCTAATCTAGTCTATCAGAAGTGCTGCAGAATTTTAAATGCTGTATTAAATTGTTGGGGAAACTATGTTTTTTTGGTAGCTGCTATAATTATAAGACATGGGAACAGTAGTTTCCTCGCTCCACCGTGGAACTCATGATGCCTAATTGAACTTCATTGTCTCCAGGTTCTTGCCTTTTCTTCTATTTCTAGATCTACAAGTTTGCTATAAATGGTGGCCTTCCTCAGTATTTCTTGCTGGTTTTATACATTTGCATTTTAAAAAAAACATAAGCAGCTTTGTCCTTTAAGCAGTAGGAGTTACATTATTCTTGTAATTGGGCTTCTTTCCTGAGGTGACTGGTTATCATTGACCCTAGCGTTTATGGGGCAGAAATCCCTAGAATCTTAGAGCAATTAACACCTGGTGAGCCGAGTGATTATTTTCTCAGCCGCGCCTCTGAGAGTGAGTTGGGAGAGGAGGGGATGGTCTGTCCAGACCCTGCTTCTCATCTTCGCCAGTCACGCCAGAGCTCCGAGACAGGAAACCAGACAGAGTCTGCCCTGATAAGGGAGAGTATTGTCTACAGGAGGTAGCCCTGCTCCCCCACCCCACCCCAAAGACTTCTTCCTTGAAAGTAAGTCCGGAAAGAAGCACTGCGCAGTAGAGGCCTTGCAAATCAGGAAAGCAAAAAGAGAAGAAGCATGTTCGCCTCTCAACTGTCTCCACACCCCAGACTGTGGATTGAGAACCCTCTTCAGGGCACCATTAAAGAAACCCTGCCCCCTGTGCCTTGGTCTGCATGGAGGGAAGTTCTTTGGCAAAACTGGTTGGTGGAGGTTTTTGAAATTCATTGGCTGGATGCATTACCATTTCCCCAGCTAACTTTGGGAGGGGGGGGGAGTTGGGGTGAAGATGGAGCAACAACTGACAAGCAAGCTCCTGGCCTCCCATGCACTCTGTTAGACCCCTGGACTAGCTTGCCCCCTGATTTCCAGAAAGGGGGCACCCAAGAGGACAACCCTCCCAGGACTACCATCCTGGGTCCAGCCTAGTCTGGGACGTACCCCACTTGCCAGTCTTTGGAAGGTGTAGGGATCAGGCAAGGGATGGTTCGGAGCTGGACTCAACCCTCATCCCTGGAGCGCAGCCGGATGGATCTGGACAGCCGAGAGGGAATGGAGATTGTTGAAGTCAGGCACACTACGCTGGAGAGCAGCCTGGGTTTGTCTCCTGTGGCCTCTGCCATTCTTTCCAAGAACTTGCTGTTGGCGGCTAATCACGGACGTCCACTCCTTTTATCTGTGCTTGTACTTTATACCCTGGTACCTTCAAAGCTTTCCACTCCCAAACGCATTGATTAGGGAGATCAATTTCCTGTTCCGCTCACCCTTTTCAAACATGGTACTTTTGCCTCCCCTAACTCCTTCCTTAAAGGGTTCACTCTTGGCAGTTTAGGAGATGCTGGCTTCACTGGTCCCGGACCAGTGCTCAACCCGGGCTCCTACCTTCCTGTGTATCCCACCTGAGAAGTGTAGTTCCACATCCACACCTTTGTTCATCTCCCAGGTATTTATTGAGCACCTAGTTATTACTGCTAATCTCGCATCATGTGCAATCATTCTGAGTTAGGCCACAGGATGGAGGGGAGCTGCAGGGAGTGATCCAACCTGAAAAGGCGTTTTGAAATCTTAATTGCTGTTGGAACCTCCCCGCAGCTCTGCTTACCGTGGACCAGTGTGCACACCACACCCTCCGTATTGGGGAGTGACCCCAGGGTGAGGTGATTCCACCCAAAGATGGCTCCCTCCGCCCAGGCTCTGCATAACAGAAAGCCCTGGTCTGAAAACAGGCACACTTTGGTTCTTGGCTGCTGTTCCACCAATGTGGACGCGTCACCTCACCTCTTCCTCCATTTCCTCATTTCTAAAATGGGGATGGAGGCCTGACCCCTCCACCTCTGTACAGTTACTGTGAGGATTTCCGTATTTACTTGGGTAAAGCTGCCAATTTTTTCCTCAGCAGTTTTATGGGCCAATTGCAGGTGCTTTGGCTAGCAAGAATAATAACCGAATTTGGGACCTTCAGAATATGGCTTTTGATCTTGTGTCCAGATATGCTTAGAAAGAAGGGGCAGGCAGCCAGCGCCAGGTGGAGGGGGTTAAAATTATTCCGGTTGGCTGCTGGAAGGTCGGCACTGAGTCCCATGTCCCCCAAGGACCAGTCTCGCTCATAGCGTGCAGTCCCGTCTGTAGTGGCGGTCGAGTGGTGTACCCCATCGCCAGCCTGGAAGTCAGTGACCTGGAGCTCCAGTCCTGGCTCTCCAGCTGTGTGAATTTGGTGGGATTTCGAGCCTCGCCCTTCAAGTGTTTTCATCGGTGAGATGAGAAGGCTGTTCCCACTCAAGGTGTGACAAGACATGGATGAGCAAAGAACAAGACATTCGTCATGAACGTGGTGGGGAACCAGCAGGACGGACACATCCCATAGCCTTTGCTCTCGATGGTCAACAACAGTAGTCCTCTCTGGTTTTGAGACAGGGTCTTTCTGTGTGGCCCAGGCTGGGGTCAAATAGGTAAGAATTTCTATGATTCCTCTGGAGACTGGGAATATCAGCATTTGCCAGCAAACCAGGCAGAAGTATCATTAAAAAAAAAAAATTAAAAAGTTGGCCCACACAACCCTTCACCTATAGCTGCCTCCTCCTCCCCTCTCTTAACTGTTCTGGTTTAGATTTTCAGAGCGCTTGACACCAGGCTTACTTAAAAGGCCTCCATGGGTGGACAAGAAAAAGATGTTTGAAGGTGGCAGTGGTGAGGTCTCCCCGAGACTGGGAAGGCTGGAGAGAGGTGAGGGGCAGTCACTTCTTAAGGAAGTTTTGATCATTAATTTCCTGTAGGGCTGGGCCCTCCCTCACCCTCCCTCACCCTCCCTCACCCTTGGAACAGGCTTGGAACGTTTCGAGTAGGACAAGACTGCGGAAGTCCTACTCAAGGCTTGGCCGCTTGCAATTAATTATTATTACTGGGGGGAGGGGTAGCTTGTTTTGTTGTTAGCTCCTTGGGCCTGACAGAGAAAGAAACATCTTTGTTTTTTCATTCTCCCTTGGAAAGAGGGAAGGAGCCTCCCAAAGTGTGGGGAGGCACCTGCCTGGACCCTTCTCACGGTGCTAGAAGACACACCCAGGTTGTCTAGGTAAGAGGCGGCCAACCTGGATGTATTAGGGACCAGTCAGCTGGCCACATAGGGAGGCCTTCAGCAGGTCTTTGAAGAATTAGGCGGATTTAGATAAGCCGGAAGAGGAGGGGGGCATTCCACACTGTTGCCCAGCGTCGAGGCCAAAAATGAACAAAAGCCTGGGATTGGGGGGGGGGGGGGGGCAGGGCCACTCGGGAGAGCCTGGGCTCCTTAGGAAGCTGGTGACAAGCACAGGCAGTATTGCCCCACCCTGGCAGCCCCAGGCTGCCCTGGAGGAGGGACCAGATGAGGTAGAGACTGGAGGCCAGGGGGCTGGGCTGCTGTGCTGGGTCACAGACTCCCCGCAGGACCCCCCCCCCCCCACGGCAGTAGTGGAGGTGGAGAGAAAAGGGGCGGGGCAGGGTTCACAGGTGACCTTAGGTTTCTATGGTGAAAGACCAGAAAATGAGGCAAATGCAAGGGAGGGAGGGGCAGCCCTTAGAGAGGCGACCAGGGGGAGGGTTTGGTCTGGAGTCCTGTTTCCCTAGCAGTAGTTGCAAGAGATTTCTGGTTTGTGTTTACTCTTGAAGAGGAGGGCAGTTTCCCCTGCACAGCTTTGGATCTGAAGGTACAGCCCTCTGAGGTCAGCTTCAGTGGACACTCCACGCCATCAGGAACTACCCCCCCCCCCCCCCACACACACACACACACAGTTCTTTCTGGTTCTTTTTAAGATCCTTGCCATCCTTGCTCAGGCTGGAATTTCCAGGAACCAGCTACAGCCTGGAGCCAGTCAGGTCCCTCCCAGCCTTCCCACTCCCTGTAGGGTGGGGCCGCATGGGTGGAGGCCCAGCAGGGTGGAGTGAGGTGGGTCTCCAGCGATGGGAGGCACCCAGGGAGCCAGGCAGATGAGAGGCAGCGTGGCCTCATGCAGCCCTTCTGGATGTGATTATATAACACCTCACAGAGGAGAGCCGGGAGGGCTTACGAGGCCTTTGGAACCATGTTCACAGCGGGATTAGACTTTGTGGGTATTTTTCAGTTTAACTTAGGTTGCTTGCCCTGAAAAGTGAAACACAGACTTGCCGGGAGCGTAAAGGAGGAAAGGAATGAAACCCAAGCACTAAGCAGGTGCCCTTGAACTTGAGAGCTGGTAGTACAGGCTGGGGTCTCCCAGCCCTACCCCTGCTGGACGGGGGTGGTGTGGAGATGTTGAGGGACTCTGCCTGCTGGTCACCTTTGCACCTGTGCTCATTTCCATGCATGTCAATTGCTTCACCCGGTCTTTCCGAAGTACAGGGTGTGGGCAGAATCTTATCTGAAGCCATGTCCTGTTTGGACAAGTTGGACTCGCCCTGGCAACTCTCCATGGGGTGGAGCAGATGGGTGGAGGCAGAAAAGTAAAATTGGGTGGCCTGTTCGCCGAGGAGGAGGGCGGATTGTTTGCTCTCGGGATCATTATATTCCATCTGCAGCGAAATAATTCCCGGCTCTCTCCCTTTGACAAAACATGGTAATGCAAACATAATTTATGAGAGGCAAAGATTTGGAGCTATTCCGTGGGATTCTTCTCCAGTCACCAAGAGAAGACTGAGGTGGGCGAAAAGACTTGGGTGGTGTGGAAACTGGACACCCTTCCAGGTAGGTGCCGGCCAGCGCCAGCTCTCCTTTAAGCTGGCCTCCGACTTGGGTGCCTGCTCCTGTGTCTCTGGCCTGGGCCTTTGCACAGCGCTCCCTGCCGTTCTACTCCCTGGGAGCATTCGAAGAGTTTGCTAAAGAAATTAGAGAAAGGTTTCCAGAGGAAGTTCAGCTCCGGGGACGTGCCTGCCCTCCTGGCCAGGATACACAGAGCTCAGGTTTTGTCCCTAAGGTCCTTTAGAGAGGGACGGTGGGGACCACTAGCTCACTTCCTCAGCGGAGTGAAAAGGGCACTTGCTGACTGTTGCCTGGCGTCTAATGAGTCTGTTCTCCCACACCTGGCTGGGGTTCCCTGTGAGGGAAGAGGGTAATTGGAACAAACAAGCCTTAGGGTCAGGCTGGGTTGGGGAGATAGTCACTCACATAGGGACCATTTGAGGGTTTGAGGAAAGAAACGCGGCAAAGAACAGGGATAAAAAGGAGAAGAGAGTCAGGCAAATCTTGTTCCACCTTCAGCAAACCGAGAAGTCTTGATCTTCCTCTCCCCCGTTCCCCCGCACCCCAATTCATCCCCTCTTATGAAGCAGTTGTTCGATGAGCTGTATCATTTCTAGAAGTCACTGAAATGGCTCGCCAGGTTTCTAATGCTACAGTTTTGTATGTTGACAGATATCTGACCCTTGATCCAATCTAACCCTTGCAGTCAAAAGTAGACGCGTGGGTGGAGGGGGGTTGGGAGGGACATCACTTCCGATTGAAAATCGGCTTTTACGGCCCCTTCCCTGAAAAAATGACCCAGTTGCTCCAATTATGAAAAGTTATTTGGGCCAAAGTGATTTTCTATATTGATTTTTAAGTATTTCAGTAACTTAGTTTTGAAATTAAAAAGATTTTGCTGTTTTATCCTGCCCTAGCTTAATTTAGATTGAGAGTTGGACAAAACAAAACTAAGATGTAAATGTGTGTTTGGGAAAACAAAACAAAAAAAAAACCGCATTTGAGGCTCCTCATTCCTGCAATACCCACATAAAGTGGTTAATAGGATTCCTTAGCTTGGTTAAAACCCACAAGGTTTTAAAGACCCTGAGGCGGGCACACGCCTGTCTTCTGCCAGTGTCTTAAGGCTCCAATGCCTGTATTAGTGCGCCACCTACTGGTTCCGTTGAGGATCGCTGCCAGTGTGGTAAAAGATTTCAGAATCCTTGTTTTAAAAATGAGTGAGATGTGGTGGTACCCATCTGTCATTCCAGCACTTGGGAGGCAGAGTCTGGTGTGGAGCTGCATCCTAAGCCAGTGTGGTTTACTGGTGAGCTCTAGCTCAGCCAAGACTGTTTAGTGAGACCCTGTCTCAAAAGTGGTGAAGGGCTTTTAAAAAGGATACAGGAGTAACCGCAGAGCACAGCACCGCGCGAAGACCCCAGTTCTTACGGCCTTAGCTTCCATTTTAGTGCATGGTTTAGATATTAACTTTAGTTCAAGTATGAAGGATTGAACCCAGGGCCTTTTGGTACTAGGCATTCTGCCCTCCAAGAGTTACGCCCCCTCTTTCCTGGTTCCTTACCAGAACCCCTAAAACCTAAAGCGGTGGCCAGGCGGTTGGTACAGAGCAGAGGCTGCTGCCGTTTTGAACAGGCAGCCTGATGTTAGGGCACTCTGCTTGCTTCCTGTCGTCTTCCCCCTGTGTGTCTTTAAACGTTTAACTACAGAGTTAATAAACATGGTCACATGGGTATATGAAGCTAAAGCTAGCCTTTGCTCCTGACTCTCTTACAAGCCCTGGATGGTCTTGAACTTGTGGCATCCAAGTGCTGAGATCTAAGCATATACTACCACACATGGGTCCCCCTAGAAGCTCTTGTTAACAGTCGAGGGGTCCAGGCACTTATCTTGCTTTATATATTGTTCCGAAGTTTGAGACCAACGAAGCTCGCATGTGTGTATGTGTGCGCGTGTGTGTATGATGTATCACGTATCCAGAAGTTGTACATATCTGTTGAGATGAATATTAGAGGGAAAAGGATCCTACAACCTGAAACAAGGAGTATAGTCTGTACCCTGCTTGTGAGAAGTGTTGCCTCGGGGCTAGAAGTTGGAGGCCACAAAGCCAGCTCTCTTTGAAGCTGCTCAACTGTCTGACCTTATCAGTGTTCACAGAGGCGTCACCTGGCTTTATGGTTCCTCACCACACCAGGAGATGCTGCACCTTCCTTCTCTAAGGCTTGGGGATAGGCAGGTCTTAGAGCCCCACCCTTGAGTGTAGCTGCTAGATTAAGACTGCTTATTAGATCCCAACACAAAGAGGTTTTCTTTCTAATGAGATCACCCTTTTTTTTTTTTTTTTTTTGCTGTCAGTTTGTTTTTTGCTGGGATACTAAGAGGGTAGTGACACCGTGGACTTGAGCAACCTGGTGTGACATTGCGTTTGCAGATTATTATACATCCTAGGGTACCGGACAGTGAGTGTGACGTCAGGGCCTTGTGGGTGATATTACATTAAAGAGCTGAGGCCAGGAGCCATCTGGTACCACGTTCGTGCTTGTGTGAAGATGTCGTAGTGTAACTGCCAGAGCACATGTGTGGTCGACTCTGGACACTGCATTCATGGGACCGCGAGGGTGGGACCCTCTCCATACCATAATAGAAGATGCAAAGACTCTGGAACCTGAAATTCTGTGTCTCTGTGTGGGTATGCGCTAGAGAGTGCAGGTGCACATGGAGGCACGGAGAGGGCATTGGGTCCCCAAGGACTGGAGTTACCAGTGGTTGGGAGCCACCCAAGATGGGTGCCAGGAGCCAAACTCTAGGCAGATGCCAGAGCGGTGTGTATCCTTAGCCATCTGCAGCCTCTGCAGGGTTTGTTTTTGTTTTGGAGACAAAGTCTTGCCATGTAGCCCAGGCTGGCCTCAAACTTGGGGCAGTCCTCCTCCCTGGGTCTCCCTAGTGCTTGAGCTCACAGGCACACTACTCTCTCAGGAGAGCCAGAGTGACCTGTGACCTTGAATGACCTTGTCTCAAATCAGAGCCCTAAGTGGGTACCCCAGGTTGGGATGGTGAGGACCTGATGCAGCTGTGTAAAGTCCCATAGCAGCCACACGGTTCTGTGCAGCACGCCGTGGTTACCAAGCAGAACAGGACGGAGTGACAGCAAGCTAATAAGGGAAACTGTGTGTGTGTGTGTGTGTGTGTGTGTGTGTGTGTAGGGGGTATGCCTTAAGATCCAAGTAGACATTTCTCAAAGAAAGAACTGTAAATGGCAAATAAAAATGAAACAGGTTCAATCAGTAATGTTGTAACTCAAAGTAAAATGATTTATCATTTGGGATCCATCAAAATGGAAGGAGAGAATTCTCCTTTAGAAAATTTGGTGTAAGATTTAAACTGTAGGGTACAGGTACAGAGAGGGTCAGTGCTGTCTGTAGTGGGAACATTTGGAAACGAAGGGTCCAGCAGTGTATTTATTATTTTATTCCTTTCTCTGTGTGTGTGGGCACAAGCACACATGGAGGTCAGAGAGCAGCTTGCTCCTGCTCCGCGTGGGGTCTGGGGACTGAACTGTGATCATCAGGATTAGCAGCAGACGTGTTTGCTCACCAAGCCGTCTGATTGGCCCTTGTGTCTGATGAAAAGTGACAGTTTCAGCCAGTGTCCTCACAGGGCAGTGTGGTGAGTCCGATGGTTTGAGCCCCCACTCATTACAACAAAGACGTGTTTTTCAATAAAGTGTCAAGTGACCATAAAGGCTCTTAACAGCGTGTGTACTGCGGTCCCACTTGAAAGGGTTTGCAGGGTTAACACGGGGGTCACTGATGGCCACTTCTGGGTTTCTTTCTCCCTGTGTTTTGCTGTGATGAGCGTGGGGGTGGGGTGGATCCTCTGCTGAGCTGCCCAGCAATGCCAAGCAAGGTTCCTGGCAGAAGAGGCTGTACATATTGTTCCAGAAATGTCAGGGTTTATGCAGCTGAGTAAGAAAGGCTGCTTCATCTAGTCCTGCCCGTGAGGCCTGGGTTTAATTATATGAAGTGAAGGGGGCATCTTTGGTGGTAGGTAAGGCCAACAGTCCAAGCCTTTCCAGAGGTGAGACAGAGGTAGAGTGGAGAAAGGGGCAAAGGGGTGTTTCGTTTTTCTTAGTTTATGTGACCTTGGTGTTAAGACTGGGTGTGTCGTTTTGTTTTGCAGGCCAGAGATCAGAACACCCTAGAAGGCTTAACTAAAAGAATGCTCATGTTTGACCCCGTCCCTGTCAAGCAGGAGGCCATGGACCCTGTCTCTGTGGTGAGTTGCCCACGACTGAGCTCTCTTAACTGGTAACATTATGTGTTGTGTTGTTTCCTGAAGTGCTCCTTGTTTGACAGGCAGGCACTAGACAGGTGGCATTTCTCAAAAGCCCCCAGTAATAAACGAGGTGCCACGATCCATCCTTGGGACCCTTTTTCCACACCCCTAGATAGGGTCAACCACAGGCTGATCTGTTCACAGTGAAAGTAAGTTCACAGATACATGTGTAAAATACATTGAGGATAAAGTCATTAAGGAAAAAGAAAACAGGGTAGACAGAAGCCATATGGGGCCGAGGCTCTATGAGGGATGACTGAGGAGAAGCCAGCCAGAGAGAGGACTTGGCAGCGAGGCCAGAATCCTATTACATTTGGAACAGTCCGCAGCTGGGTGGGAATCACATCCGTGCTCCTCTTGTACGCTTTAGCGCTAAGTTGTCCCCTCTGGTGAGCCAGGCCATAGTGCTGGGAGGCCACCAGTCCAGTCCTAGTGCCGTGGAGACAAGACATGGGTGACAAAGAGGGGCCAGCTTTTCAAACCAAAGGAGCAGTTTAGACATGAGAGGATGTGGTTCCGCGGATCCTGACTAACAAGGCAATGCTCCCAGTCTGTCTTGCTCTTTTCTTCCATGGGATTGGAAAAATAGTCAGAAGGGGAAGATATCTTGTCTGGATATGTATCTCAAGGCTGGGGCTGACACGCTTGCAAAATTAGATCATGCTTATGCTCTGGCTGTGGAAGATCTGCCAGAAATACTTATACCAGACACGGGGTCACTCTGAGGCGCCCAGAATGCAGTTACCATAGATATTACTAAGCCGGTGAGGTATTTCGAGTTGTCCGCAGTGAGGAGTGGAGCGAGAGCATCTTTGAGGAGATAGCATTTACATTCCAGCAGAGCGGCTACATAACGCAGCTCTCGCGTGCCCGAATGGAGTAGTGGAATAGTTGAAAAGTTCGAATGGCATTCACGGAAGAACCGGACTTTTCTTCGGCAACTTCGCAGCACTGTCCTTCCACCCCTTTCTTTCAGCTCTTGCAATGCTCAGCTTGCAGGAAAAGGTGAAGACAGGCACATTTCTCAGTTCTTAGCTGGAAAATATAATGTTCGTAAATGGCGCGTGGCCATCGTTGATATATTTGACGGTACATCCAGTGTTCTTCATCAACCATGAAAAGTATGCTCATGAGCCCAGTTGCAGCCGACATGAAGACCCGCATTAGCAGATTGTTGGGAGATAGTTAGGTGCGCAGAAAATGCAACTTAACTGCGATGGGAGGGGATAAAAGGGATTTTTGTTTTTCTGTGTGTTAGAGTGCTGTAATTTGCTTTCTATTGCTGTGATAAACACCACGATCAAAAGCAACTTGGAGAGCCAACTATTTCAGCCTACAGCTCCAGGCCACACTCATCACTGAGGGGAAATGGAAATAGGCAGGATCCTGAAGCAGAGACCTCGGAGGGAAATTGCCCTGACCTAGCTGAAGAGCTACTTTTCACTTGCTCGGGGATGCCACCTCCCATAGTGCACTGGGCCCTCTCACAACCATCGTTAGCCGAGAAAAATGTATACAGGCCAGTCTACAGAAGACACGTTTCTCAGTTGGCGTCCCTCTTCCCGGGTCCCCTGATCTTGTGTCAAGTTGACAAAACAAAAAACAACAACAGAAAAGCAAACATACGAAGTTGAAATGTGTAAAAGTGTTTTTTTTGTAATTAGTGCTTTTCTCCTTCATGCGCTGGTGGTCAGCTTCACCTGACAGAGAATTCATTCCATTCCAGAGAGCTTCAGTCTGTGCTCTCAGGTCAGCTTCCCCTCCCCCACCCTCACAGGAGGAGGTGAAGGGGTCAAAAAGCACTTGTTACAGAGCACCGGGCCTTTGTAAGTTGGGTTGTGTTTCCTTCGAGACAGGGTCTTGCTGTGTATCCCTTACTGGCCCTGACTCATGGCAGTCCTCCTGCCTCAGCCTTCTGAGCGCTAGGATTGCAGGCACTAGGCAAAGCTTGTAAGATTTTTACAAAGAAATTTTTCTCCCGTGTATTGATATTTTGCCTACATATATGTATAAGAACATGCAGTGCCCGAGGAAGCCAGAAGAGGGCATTGGAGCCCCTGGAACTGGAGTCACAGACAGTCGTGAGCTGCCATGTGGGTGCTGGAAGCTAAACCTGGGTCTTCTACAAGTGTAGTTAACCACTGAGCCACCTTTCCAGCCTCCAGAATTTTTTTTTCTAAATCCCATCACAAAAAGCATCAGGCTGTTGCTGTGTCTGTCCGTATGTCTTCCGTCACTCCCCGCCACCATCGCCTTTTACTTTTTCAAAGAAAATCCTGGCCAGAGCAGGGTTGTTATTTGTAATTCTTGTCATAGCTTAGAGAAAGTGAGGAACTAATGTTCTTCTCTTACTGAAATACAAACTCTGTTAAAGACTGCACACGACAGACAGGATGGCCTCCTGAAGAAGATTAAAAACTAGAGGTTCTGATTCAGGCTATCAAAAAACAATTGAAGAAAGAAAACTTGAAAAATATTTTTTACTCTTTCTCTAAATTTCCCCTGGGAGCCCTCTTTTCTTTTGCTTTCCTGGTGACTTGTCTCCCAGCAGACTCCTTGTTCTGTGAGAGACACTGACACCAGTCATGTCCCGAGCTCTGTCCCGATAGCAACCCTTTGTGGTTTTCCTGGACCAGGTGGACAGAAAGCCTTCTCTGTTTGCCTCAGAACATTTGCTGAGCCCAGAGCAAGTGTTGATGAACGTGCCACGCCTTCCTGTGCCTGGAGCCCCACCTGTGGTCTGAGGACTAGCCCCGTCACAGATGCTCCTTGTTTTCACGTCCATCAGCAGCAGAGACTTCCTGTTCTGCCACTGGTCCCACACCCACTTACTGTCTTGTAAAGCGAACTCTCCAGAGCTGTTCCTAGTAAAATATGACTCTGGAAATTCTCACTGTGCAAAGTACTAGTAAGACCCCTGGGAGAGTGCCCAAGCCTCTTTCTCCCCCACCCTCTCCACCGTCACCCCAGTTCCTGTTTTGAACCCTGTCTTCAAGAATCACAAGTATCGCATTATCTTGAGCCTCTCCGGGAGTGAAGACCTGCAGAGAGCCGATTAATTCATTCCCAGACATCCAGACATGAAGTGCTTGTGAAGCTCTTGCCTCCTGCTCCAGTGACAGACAGCAGTCAGCAAATACATACAGGTAGCGGAGGTGTGGACGTTGTGGTATGCATTTCACCGGGAGAGGAGCACCTAGGGCTGGGGTGCTGCCCGTGGGCCGTTTCTAAGTCTCGTCTTTGGATAGCTGTGTTGCAGAAGATGAGGTACGAGGACATTGGGCTTCCATTCATGCCTGCCAATGGCCAGAGAAGAACTTTCTGATCCAACACTTGCCACTGCTGTGTATTTGGGACCTGTGGAGCCATGTCTGTGCATGACCTTAGGAGACAGGAGTCTTCTAAACCAGAGGGCAAGTGGCTCAGCGGGGTCTCCAGCTCAAGCCACACCTGACGTGCATCGGATTTTACAGTGCACGCCACGTGGGTGTCAGCCACTGCAGGAGGCTGTGTGCTCCACCCAAACGAAGTAGAGAAGATCCTGGAACTTGTCAGTGAGCCAATTGGAAGGACCACGGCTCTTCGACCTTTTTGAGGCAGTCGTCCTGGAAATAGTTGATTATGTACTCAAAGTTGAGTGTCCAAAAGTGCCTCCCTGCACTTATCCTGGAACCCAAAGTATGAAGGACAGGGACGTTCCTTTGTGTTGACCGTGTATAAAAATGCGAAGCGTGTATTAGACTCCGCCTGGTGTGCGGCTTTTTGTTCCTTGACGATTTTGCAGACCCTGAGGGTATTAGTAAATCTGCAAATCCCCCAGGTTCTGCCTGCGTTCTGCTTGTCTTAAATTCAAGCCACGGTGACAGACAGCGATGAAAGTATTGTCCTCATTTTGCTCCCTGTTGAGCTGCCAGCAACTGTAGGCCTTAAAATCTAGGTCATTGGGAGGTCTCGGAAGAACGGGGCTGGAAATCAGGATTCAGCTTTACAGTGGAGAAACTCACGGATCCCATCCATTTCACATGGATCTGCCTCCCACCAGACCTGTGTCCTTTGGAAAATTAAATAAAGTGTATGTAACTTCTTAGTTACTGATCCTCTTTGTGCATAATGTCTCATTTTTTTTTAAGTGGGCCCGGTGCTTCTTTTAATAGTACCTATTTTATTAAATATGTTTCATATTTATGTTGTTGTGTAACTTGGACCTCTTTTCTTGTGTTATACTTGGGTATGGCCAGTTCTAAAGAAGGAAAGAGCTGTGTATGCTGGTGGAGACCAACACTTGAGCGGCAAAGACAGGAGGATTGCTACAAGTACAAAGGCAACCTGGACTGTGGAGTTAGATCCTTAAAAAAAAATCCACAAAGCAAAACAAAAATACAATTTTAAATTTCCAGTGACTAAGTGGGAGGAGTGCACGGGTTGTCGTTATTCAACCCTCTGCCCCTAGCCAAAGCTGGTGCCAAAACCTGCGTCCTGTTCTTCCTGGTTTATTCCTTTTGTGTATTCTGCACAGTACTGATAGTTTTTTTCCCATCTTTCAGCTGATCTCAGTAGAAGTCACTGAGTTACACAGGTAATAAGAGTAAAGAAGGGCAGAAGAAAACCACACGTGTTCATAAAGCACTGGAGAGGTGGCTCAGCGTCTAAAGGCGCTTGCTGCTCCTCCTGAAACCTCAGTCGGGCATGTATATCAGGTGGCTCCCACCCATCTCTTATTCCAGCTCCCAGACATCCCGTGTCTCAAGCCTCCATGGGCATCGGTACTCACAAGCACACCTACCTGTAGATACACGCTTGCAGATAATTCACAGTGATAACAATAATGACAAATTAATTCTTTAAGGGTGGGGGGAGAGAAGGGGGAGGGGAGAGGAGAAGAGAAGAGAAAAGAAATGGAAAGGAAAGGAAAGGAAAGGAAGTGACGCCAGAACCAGTGACTTTAGTCTCATTGCCTGGTCGCCTATTCCTGGGTCATTTGAGGATGGCACTAGGTCCAGAATGGTATTTCGATAAGGGCGAACCGTTGTGGTTCATAGACAGGCAGAGATTCCACATGTCTGGGCCTAGTGAAGAAAGGGTGTAATTCCAGGAATGATCCCAGTCAAAGCCACGGCAGGGAAGCTCAGAAGGAACAGTGTGCTGGTGTGGGGTGCACGACATAATCCCAGCACCATGAAGGCAGAGGCAAGTGGATCTCCGAGTTTGAGGCCAACCTGGTCTACATAGTGAGTTCCAGGCTAGCCAGGGGTACACAGTGAGACTCTGTCTCAAAAAAAAAAAAAAAGCAAAGAAAAGCAGCAGGTCATATGGTTTGGCCTGTCCTTGGTGGCAGCAAGGTGTCCTTAGGAAGGCCGCAAGCCTTTGGTAATGCAGACAAGCCACTTTAGAACACGTCCAGGCAGGTTTGGCCTTCAGACTAAACGTGAAAACATAGCCATGGCGCTCAGTTCTCCCTGGGGCCCAATAGCCTAATTTATAGCATTTGCTAAACCTTCCCCCAAAGGTATGTCTCTTTACACTTTATCTTTTTTTTTTCTCATTTCTGATAGTCCTACCCATCGAATTACATAGAATCGATAAAACCCAACAAATATGGGGTCATTTACTCCACGCCATTACCCGACAAGTTCTTCCCGACCCCAGAAGGCCTTACTCACGGGATCCAGATGGAGCCAGTGGACCTCACTGTGAACAAGCGGGGATCACCACCCTCGGCTGGCAGTTCTCCCTCCTCCCTCAAGTTTCCGTCGCACCGGAGAGCCTCACCTGTGCTGAGCATGCCGCCCTCCAGCCCGCCTATTAAGAAATACTCACCCCCTTCTCCTGGAGTGCAGCCTTTCAGCATGCCTCTGTCCATGCCGCCGGTGATGGCGGCTGCGCTGACCAGACATGGAATCCGGAGCCCTGGCATCCTCCCTGTCATCCAGCCCGTCGTGGTGCAGCCTGTCCCTTTCATGTACACCAGCCACCTCCAGCAGCCGCTCATGGTCTCCTTGTCAGAAGAGATGGACAATTCAAACAGTAGCTTGCAAGGTAAATTCTGCTGTGCCCTCGCACTGGGGCACCTGCCAAGTATAGACCGCATTTCCCTAGGGAATCTAGTGAGGCCTCTGGGCAGAGCTATCACATCCTCAGAAGGACCACCTGGTCTGCCCCTCGGCAACTCTTTCTGCTTTGTTTCACGGTATATGCTACACTTTGATTTACTGAGTACCAGCATGGTTCTGGGAACAAAAGGGACCTAAGTACTTTCCTTTTTTTTTATTTTTTTTTAAAGATTTATTTATTTATTATATGTGCAACATTCTGCCTCCATATATGCCCGCACGCCAGAGGAGGGCGCCAGATCTCATTACAGATGGTTGTGAACCACCATGTGGCTGCTGGGAATTGAACTCAGGACCTCTGGAAGAAGAGTCAGTGCTCTTAACCACTGAGCCATCTCTCCAGCCCCCCCTAAGTACTCTCTGATCCTGCTGCTAATGGCTCTTAAAAGGCGCCTACGTACCAGCCATAGACTGGGGACTAAAGATAGGGATAGCCAGACTTTGTAAGGAAGAGTCATCTTGAAGTGCAGGGCCTTCTCTCTGCTTCAGAAGTAAGGATCCTTTTCAAGCTGAGCCCTGCTGTATATAACCCTAGCCAGAGAATAAACACGCATATGTAAGTGTAGTTGCTAGAAGCCAGGCAGTGAGCTTTAAAGCTGAAATTGATTCATCATATGTAGAATGATTTTTTTTTCTCTTTTTTATTTTTTAGTACCTGTAATTGAATCCTATGAGAAGCCCATATTACAGAAAAAAATTAAAATAGAACCTGGAATTGAACCACAGAGGACAGACTATTACCCTGAAGAAATGTCACCCCCTTTAATGAACTCAGTGTCCCCCCCGCAGGCATTGTTGCAAGAGTAAGTATCCTTCGGTGTGCCTGGTGTTAGTAGTGCCATGCACCCGGGGACCTGGAGTGGAATTGCAAACCTAGGATATACTGTGGATGACCGGGGACATCCTGTGTTGTGTGTGGTGTCACTGGGTGGCGCCTCTGTAACAGTGGTCACGACAGTCTCCGGGAACAGCACGAACCACATCTCCGGCAGTGTGGCAACTTCAGCGGATGAGTCTCCCAAGGTGGCCACGTGCATCTTTTTTTTTTTTTTCCTTTTTTCCATCCATCTGGAATACACATATTTAGTGTTCTCACGAAGATTGGATTTGTTGTTCACATCAGCTTGAGTCCCGAAATGTTTTTAATGTGTCAAACAGAATCCGTCCCCCCCTCCCCACAGCTGCCGCTTCAAATGTAATTTAGTGTGTCTATTATCGAAAATCTTCAGGCCAACCACAGTGCTGGCCGCAGAAGGTTTCCGTGCAGCTCAGAGCAGCTCAGTGCTGAAGGACATCTTTGCGTCGCGTCTTTAATCATAGCTGCCGTGGAGCCTCCCCTCCCGTGCAGAACTGCAGCCAAGTAGGAAGGCTGTCTGCCCTGCCCGGCATCTGAGCGTGTGCTCGGACAGGACGATAAAGTACAGGGTGAAGTCCCAGCATTTATGGCTTCACCGCTGGGGTGAGCAGGCTCTGAGGAGATGACCTTTGACCCTGGCGCTGTGCTTCAGCCTGGGTGGGACCATAGGCTAATCCCCCCCCCCATCCACATTTTCTGCTTTTGTTTATTGTAATCACTCTTGTACTGTCTCTGTACCATAGTACTTCTGCATTGGGCCCACTGGTCAGCCTCCAGGGCCACAGCCACTGTCCCTTAGGGTCCCTCCCGTCATCCTTCTCCCACGTCACCTTTTCTCTGGCTTCGGTGAATGTTCCGCCCACCTTCCCTGTCTTATCACCTCAACATGTGAGTTCTCTGGCTTCAGTAGCTGTTGTGGTGACGTCAGACGGTCAGTCGTACCCACCTTTGACTGGTGTGGCTTTCCTAGTGGCTCAGGTGTGAACACCACACTGAGGGATGCTGGCGTAGCTGGTCCCTAACAGATACGGGGGGGGGGGGGGGCACTCCTCAACGCCCAGCTGCAGCATCAGACAAAGAAAGCATCTCGGGAACCTTTGCTTTCGTTTCTCACACTGGTCTAGTGCTTCCCCTTAAGAGTTCAGTGGCAGGGTTTTTGTCTGCTTTTTAAAAGATGGGGTCTCGTTGTGTAGCCCAGGCTGACCTTATTCATGGGCCACCTGCCTCAGCCTCCTGTGCCGGGGTTGCAGGCACGCGTCATCATGCCCATCTCCAAGTGTTTCAAGAGAGCCCCCTTATTATCCAGAGTGCATAGAGAGCTGGTGAGCCAAGGCACTACTTAAGGCACCCACAGGGGACCCACTGCTCTTGACCAGGGGACCCGCTTCGACCCACTGCGTCTCTCCAGGTGTTCTCCTTGCCGAAACGGACCAGCAGCAGAGGGCTAGTCTAAAGTCTTAGGAACTAAAGTGTGATACGTTGTGGGAGAAGATTTGAAAGCAGTCTTTAAATGCTGCTGAAAAGAATACTGTTTCCAGCTAGGTGTGGTAATCCGTGCCTCTGATTGAAGCCTTTGAGAGGAAGAGGCAGGAGGGTCAGGCTTTTAAACCCACCTGGGGCTTACGTGAGACCTGTCTCAAATAGACATGCATATTTTTTTCTTCCCCTTTTAAATGCTTAATGGGTGATGTACTTATTTAATGATGACCTAATCCTCAAAAAAGAAAAATCTGTAGATTAGCCACAACGGAGCATGCACTCTGGCTAACTCTTTCTCAGATGGGATTAAGTAATGTCTTGGAGTGGACCCAGTAGCAGCCCACATAGGACGCATTAGCCAGGCAGGGATCATTCGAAGCAGCCAGGTGCCTGGAACCCTGCTGCCTGGGCGTGGCCTTCCCAGCTTGGAAAGCCATTGTCCAGTCTAGGATTTCAGCTGTAGGGTCATTTTTAAATACACTCAAAGATATGTCCAAAAGGCTGCATTTAGAACAGAAAAAGGAGGGGTGGGCGTGAGAACGTAAACTTAAGGGCCAGTTTAGCTCCTAGCAGGTAGTTGTATGGTTGTATGATCCCAGGGGATATCTTTAAAAAATGAGGAGTGGGAAGCCAAAGAGCCTGAGATTCCCAGGACCTCTACTCTGAGCCTCATGCTGCCGTCTTTTCCAGTAGACCCTAACTTGATCTTCCTTAAAGTGGCTAGAAAACGCCACGTGATTGGACAGCTGTGAGGTGCAGAGGGGCGGGGGGACTTCTGACTCCGGCACACACACACACACACACACACACACACACGATCCTGTGGTTCTCTGAGTCGTCACTGATAGTGGCTTTCCCACAGCCTTTTTAGTTGGTAGCATCACCCTTATTGCACAGGTGAAATTGGGGTACAGAGGCGATTAGTGACATTGGGGAAAGCAGTCATAATTACCGTGCTAAAAATGAGTTAGATTCTCAACCTATAGAGCCCAGATTTCTAAAGCCATTTGACGGGGGCTCTCCCCAGATCCCAGACACAGGGTATAATTCACCACTGAGTCTTCTTTAGGGGGAAAAAAAAAAGAAAACTCCAAATAAACTTTAGTGTCCGTTTATCTGTCTCTCAGGCATCCGGGTAAGGTTTAAAGTACTGATGTTAAGTAAACCGAACCCACCTTCTTATTTACTAGTCTCCTCTTAACACATCTCAAGCCGAAAAGAAGTATGTTCAATTTTTTGAGCCTTGAAACTATTACTGCAGGCACCCCTCAATGCGCTCAATAACATTTCAGAATCGTGAGAAATAGTCATTTTACCCCCTTATTCTTTATTTTTTTTACCCCCTCCCCCACACAGAAATCATGTGTGCATCATTTAGAATATTTTAGGACCCGGAAATTCTAACTGAGCAGTGCCTTTACTCCCGGTTAGCGGACAGCTGCAAATGCTTGCATCCGCTAGCTCACTGCCCAGGAGCAAACGAATGGGTGGGTGGGTGACAGGCCACAGGAAGGGCTTGGGAAACCGCACACTTTTTTTCCCATTTGCCCCTGCTCTCTGTCGGCCTCCTTTCTGGCATGGAAACACTTCACAGTCATGGCGAGCCAGTGTGGCTTAAGAACCCTTGGGCAGGTGCGAGAGAGGTTAAGGTACGAAGGGCATGAGGCATCCCATCCCCACCTCACTGATGGCCGCTGGAGCCTCTGTCACGCAGGAACCACCGTGGCACTGAAAGAATGCGCTTAAGACAGCAGTTACAGGCTCGTTTGAAAGAGCCAGCCTTTGAAAAATTAAGCGTGAGTCAGCAATCATTAAAAGAGACATTAAGAGAAAGACTAGGACATAGATCTGTCAAGCAGTGTGTTTGCCGAAGAAGCAGGGATTTGACTGTTTACATTTTTTTTTTTCCTGCGAGAGAAATGGAAATCAGGCAGCCTGTGGGATCGTTGGTGCGGTGCAGAGAAGGAAGGTGCACGATCCGAAAGCTGCAGAGAGCCTCTCCCGCTCGGGGCACTTCCTCGAGCGGAGCACCTAACCTTCTTGCTGTCATTACTTATCTCCATGTCTGTCTCCCCCTAGAGTGTGAGCTCCTCGAGGGCAGGAACCCTGTTTTTATTCATCTTTGTATCCCGGTGCCAAGCACAGTGCCTGGCTCATGGTAGGTGCTCGCTACATGTTTGTTGAATGAATATAGCAGTGCTTCTTGGGTTGAACAGCTAATTCCTTTTATTGTTCGTATTTTATATTTTGTTGGGGGTTTTCATTTGTTTTTGCCCGATGTCGTAAGTGCTTTTTGGTTGTTAGTAGACAGAAGGAAAGAAAGCGCCATCACTCAAGTGTTTTGCATTTAACTTGGCTTTGGTAGGAACCATCCTTCGGTCATAGTGCAGCCCGGGAAGAGACCTCTGCCTGTGGAGTCCCCGGACACCCAAAGGAAGCGGAGGATACACAGATGCGACTATGAGGGGTGCAACAAAGTCTACACTAAGAGCTCGCACTTGAAAGCACACAGAAGAACTCACACAGGTAGGAGAAACACCCGCATTCTCGCACGCTGCTAAAGTCTGTAAATCTGGCATTCCAAACGCTCTTGAGAGTACAGGAATTTTACTCTTTTATTTATTTATTTTGCTCTTTTGTGTGGTAAGGCTGCTCTTGGCTTGAGCCCTTTGGTGGACGTTACAGTCTAACTGATTTGCTGCATGACCCTTGTGTAGAATGTAATTGTTTTTCTGAGTCTGGTGGCTCATTCTCATCAGGGAATACTCACAGAGGGATCTGGGATTCAGCACAGAAAAACAGCAGCGGTTTTCAGCGAATCCTGAGGAGGAGGCGGCAGAAGAAGCTGTATTGGGGCGGGGAGGGGAGGTCCCAAACAGCAATGGCAGGTCCGCACTAGGCATGAATGGGACCAGAGGGGTGGAGCATCAGGTCTTCCTGTCTAAAATCAAAGCAGTATTGAGTCTTTGTATTTGGACATAGGCATGTATGGGGCTGAGTAGCAAAATAGAGCCTGTAGGCCCTAAAACTTAATACCAAGCATTCTAGAGACAAGAGTCACTAAACAGGGATGAATTCGTCACCCGCCGTGACCCGGGTGTACCATACTCTACTCACAGCCTGAAGGCAACTTATATATGGCATTTTCCCAACTCTGAGCATTGACGTCATGCCACCAGGAGAACGTCTGCTATGAAAGACTTGTGGCAGATTTTAGAGCAAGTGGTTCTCAGCCTTTCCAACGCTGCGACCCTTTAGTACAGTTCCTAATGTTGTGGTGACCCCCAGTATAGAATTATTTTTGTTGCTACTTCATAACTGTCGTTTTGCTACTGCTGTGAATCATAATGTAAATACCTTGTGTTTTATGATGGTCTTAGGTGACCCCTGAGAGGGCAGCAACCCGCGGGTTGAGAAACGCTGTTTTATAGTGTTCTGAATTTCCTGTCAGCGGTGGCCAACTTGAATTACTGACTTTAATTCAATAAGATCACCAGGAAGCAGTATATCTGTGAGGGTCTTCGTTCTGGCTCTCACTAGGATTTCCCACAAGAGCCTTCCTGTGAGTGGTGGCTACAGGAAGGGGTATAGAAGGTAGAGAAAACTTCTGATGTTAATACATAGGGGCTTGGTGTCACTGTCAGGAACTAAATAAGAAAGTGGGCTGCCAAATTCTTTAGCAGGTATTTTGATTGATAGGAACTTTGTAGTTTTAGAAAACTATGGAAAAGAATAAGAAAAACTCAGAAGCTTCCAGTGGACCATGGACCATTTAATCTCCCGAGGGTTTAGGGCTTGGAGACCTAAAGATGCAGAATCCTGCTCCATGCTCGTCCCTGGAATGGTTCTTCCTGCCTTAAGAATTGTTTAGATCCTACCCCAATTCTTTTTCTCTGCTTTTCCATGGAGGATACTCTTGCTCCATGCTTTCCTATAGTGACTGTATTATTGACTTTATCTTGAAAGTTACATCTTCCAAGTGCGTTAGTTCAAAAAAATCTTAGCTTCTCCTTTTAACGACGACAACAGCAGAACCATTCAAGCTCCGTTTCCCTTCCTTGCAGGAGAAAAGCCCTACAAATGCACCTGGGAAGGCTGCACATGGAAATTTGCTCGGTCTGATGAACTAACAAGACATTTCCGAAAGCACACTGGAATCAAACCTTTCCAGTGTCCGGACTGCGACCGAAGCTTCTCTCGCTCCGACCACCTTGCCCTCCACAGGAAACGCCACATGCTCGTCTGAAAGCCTGGCTCCACCTCAGTGACTCCCGACTCTTCCTGGCACTCTTGTCTCTCTCCCTGTCCGTGTGCGTCTCTCTGTTCCTCTCCTCCTGCCCATTAGCTAACTCATTTTTTGTATGTACATTTTAATTTCGATTCAGCTGGTCTGAATCTCTGAATTTATATCATTCAAGACTTCCATATGGTCAGTAGTTGATTCTCTAACCCTCCCTTTCCTTACCACGGGTCAGACCTAAAGAATGTGAACATTTTTTTTTTTCCGGGGATGCTAAGCAAACCCTCCTTACAGATACGTTTAATGTAATGAGAACAAGGGAACATGTAAACTCACGACCAATTTGTCAGTTTCTCCATGTATTCCTTAAAAGAATGTCAAAGTAAATGTATCAGAAATACAGTATCCAGCCTGCTAGTCCTTGCCAGAGACCTTCGTACCTCTGCTACATTTTGTGTTCACCCACAAAGAATGGGGTTCCTTTTACCAGTTAGCAAGATAGATCCACAGAGATGTCAAGCTGGTCCTGTCCCCTCTTCCACTGACCTTCCCACTTGCTTGTTGGCCTGGATAACCAACTCTGCTATGTCAAAGTCCTTTGTCCTCCAAAGCACCCAAAGTTTATGTGGAGGCCTTCGCTGAGCCCAGGCTTCTGCTTTAGGGGAGCCATGTGCTCCCATAGTGTGGGGAAGAAGCAGAAGAGCCTGCGAGTGGAGGAGGAAGCCAGCGATTCTTCCTGGATAGGACTGTGGGCCATCGACATCTCGGCCGCTAACATGGACTGTGCGGTGCATTTGTTAAATGTCCATCCCTAGACATGACTCAACTAAGTGACCCTTGCTACCCAGCTGGATACCTGAAGGGTTATTGGTACCACCGCCTCCATTCCTGCAGGATCCTTCATTGTGGCTCACGACGCATTCAGAGTAAGGAATCCACAGAAATAATTGCCCGGTAATGTACAAACAAACAAAAACTTTTGAGACAGTGTAAAAGTGAACTCTCCCAACCCCTCTGACCTACTAAGTGGGCTTTTGCAAACAGGAAAATGAGTGGTACTTATATTCCCATATCCAATTAGTCACCTAGCTTTCGTATGGAGCTTTTTTTGTGTGAGCTCTACGGTGCCAAACCAGCTGTCATTTGTGTCCGTGACACAGCATATATGAGCATCCATAAGCTTGAGGGAAATCATTGAATTAACCCCTGAGTGACACTATTTGTAAATATACCTAGTGTGAATGAAGCACATAGATCTTTATTTTGGTGACAGATTTTTGAAAACTAGAGAAAAACCACAATTCAGGGATTTATATATGTAGCTTGAAGATTCCCACAAGTTTCTGCGGGAGCTAACAGTTTCCTGTCACTACTATGTATCCTGTTAGTACAAACAAAAACAATGCCTCATGCTGATGTTGATGATAAATAGCACCATTATTTGGGGGGACTTTTTTTTTTCAAAAGCAGGCTTTTGAACACCGTAGTCCAAACGCCAACAGAAAACAATTCACACGTAGAAATGCCATCGGTTATAAATTTGAGGAAAATGGCGCAGTGGGCAGATGTGGTTACATACGACACGACAGCTCCTTCACCCCCTCACAAAGGATGGAGGAGAAGAGAGGAGAGAATCTTGAAAATTCGTCCCAGCCACAACTCAGGATCCAACACACCTGGGAGGAGCACGCTACTTGATTGTCCTTGAACATCAGTGAATTAGTGATGCAGGCTACCCGCACACACAAGCAGGGAGCTTGCTTTGATGGCACTATGTTCAGAGTTGCAGGGACTGCACACAGAAGGTCCTGCTCAGCCCTGTGAACCAGCTGAGGGGAAATGTGGGTGGAAGCTGTAAAGAAATGTTATCTTAGCACTTGGGTTCCTTTTCGTTCTTTTTTTAGCTCTGCAAAAAAATAAATTAAAAGAAAATCTGTTCAGGCTATTAAAGCATGCTGATTAGGCTCTTGCCTTTCTGTACCCATGGCCTGAATTGAGGAGCGGAATGTCTCTTGGAAAAAGCAGGGTCTCCGTTGTGGGTGTGGAGTCACACCCATGCCAACACCATCGTGTCTTGAAGGGGTTCTTCTGCAGCGCACTGCAGAATCCAGCCTGGTTTTGTTGTTTCAGTTTGTGTGTTCCACACAAACTTGAGAAGGGGAAGGGTGCCGGGAAGGACAGAATTAGCTTTGCAGTGAAGTACAGTTAATAGCTTCCTGACAGATTTAAACTTTGCTCAGAAATCTACATTACATTACTCTTCAGCTTGCTTAGGTCATGTTAACAGTTCCATCAGAAAGATCTATTTTAACTCGGAAAGAAAAGTAACCCAGAGAACCCGTTCTCTATCCCCATGCTGGTCTGATATGCTTTTAGTTCATTGGCCCTTACCAAATTTTCTTTATATGTGTATGTATTTGTATCTTACTATGGTAGTTGAGAAATTTAGTCTTTTAGTTTTTTTGTTTTTTTTAAGCCGTTTTTGTGGAAGATAGAAGATGCCATGGAAACGTGTTTTTTGTTTTTTTGGGTTTTTTTTGATGGCATGCTATGTTAATGTCAGTGGCGGTTCGGTTGTAGTATTTTAAATTGATGAGAACAGGCTGCAAACACGAAGTCACCCCGTGTGAATTGTTACAGAGTTCATTCAATTCCAGCTTTCCAGTCGGAGTGTGCATCATTAAGTGGGCACTTAGCAGTCTAAAGTCCCTTGATTTGCAGACTGCAGCATAGCTTGGTTCAGCTAAGAAGATGCTAAATATGCAGACGTTTCAAGAGCGTTGGAACAGGATTACAGGGGAATGATATATGTATATGTATGTTGTATTAAACACCCACCTGCACTATCAGTATTGCACTAATGCGGAATTTGAGATACTTGCTGATACTGTAATCTGCACACCATTCTTTAGATTGTTGTAAAGACAATCTCCGAGATCAGAGGTTTTTAATAATTTGGTTTGAAAATAAGAATTGTCTTGAAGGAATTGCTAACGTACATGAAGTCACTTGAGTTTTCTTTATTCTCATCTTGGTCAAGGTTAACAGTTTCTAAATGATTGCAAATTCACTTAAGTAATACATTTACAAAGCCATTTTACATGCATTAAACGAGGGCTACAATGTGTTTTACAAATACTAGCACTTTTTTTCCTGTTATGTACTTAGTGTTAGAGGGTCAGAATAACCTTTCTGCTTAGCATCTCTTAAACCCTACCTGCAAGCATAGAAGGGTTATTGCATTTACAGTACTTTAATACTTGTATAAACTATGCAGAAATTTTTAATAAAGTGTAATATATTTTATAAGCTAATAAGACTGAATGGGTAAAGGTTTTTAGCATGCATTAGTATACTTGCAAATACTGAAACATTTTGGTAATCTTTCTTACTAAAGATGTGAATGTTTAATGTACCTTCGCTGTTTCTACCCTGTAGTCCAATGGGAATTCAGTAATGACATTTTGTCATGTCAAACTGTGAACATAAATTTGTACTGTACAGTCCTCATATACTATATACAGTATGCAATATATGTATTATATACTTGTTAATAAAACCATCCGAATATTATATGTGATCATGTGATTACTATAGGCAATGATCACTAGGAACAAAGGAGAGAGAGTTGTAAAGTTTCAAAGTAAGTCACTAATGAGCAGTAAGTTTTAATGATTAGGAAAGGAAATAGATCTAGCCTGTAGGTACACCACAGGAGTGAAGAGCCTTAAAATAATGACCTTCCTGGAAGAAGGTTGAGCTTAAGCCAAAAAGCTATAGGCAAGCCAGCATTCACCTGTAAATCCATCTGGTACATTTTAGAAGTGCTTTGTTGCATGGGGAGGTTGCTTGTTTGTCCTGGATGCCCGGCTACCTTAGCCCCAAAATAACCACACAAACTATATTAATTAAATCACCGCTTAGCTCATTAGCTCTAGCTTCTTATTTGCTAACTCTTATATTAATTTAACCAATTTCTATTAAATCTGTGTATCATCACGTGGCAGTGGCTTACCAGCAAAGCACCCCTATCTCCAGCTGTGGACCTATGGCGTCTCTCTCTTACTCTGCCCTCCTTTCTCCCAGCATTCAGTTCAGTCTCTCCACCTACCTAAGTTTTGCCCTATCAACAGGTCAAGGCAGTTTCTTTGTTCATTAACCAAAAAAAACAACACACAGACAGAAGGACCTCCTACACCAGTGCTTTGTTTCTCAGTCCTATCTACAATACCTCCTTGTTGTGTGTGATGGCCCTGAGGAAACACTTCCTCTATGGTTCTGCCCCCTTCTCTTAATCACAGCTGATTCTCCAGCACCAGGGGATCAGCATCCATTGTCCCTAGCAAAGCAGTTTTTCCTCCAGTGGTGCTGGTCTCTTAGGAATCACAGCCAATTTTTTAGCTCCAGAGACTGCAGATTCTTAAAACATCACACCAAGAGCCCTGGTAGAATCTTTAAGAGACTCTTAAACTTCCCTCTGAAACTTCACAAGCCAGACAGCATCATCTGCGTTGCTCCTAACATCCTCTTCCAAGATGCCACACAACAGTCCGCTCATCCCTTGGCGCTCAATGAGTTTATCCAGCAATGTCGCATCTGTCATAGAAACACCCCATTCCTGGTACCAGTTTCTGTCTTAGGGTTTTTAATACTGTAATAAGACATCATGGCCATACACAATTTGAGGGAAGAACTTATTTTGTTTATACTTGTACAGAGGACAGAAGAGTGATATACAGGCCTGCTCTATAGACAGAAGTTTCTGTCCTGCCTGGTCCTGCAGTCCTGTCCCAAAGAAACACACAGAGGCTTATTAATTATAAACTGTTTGGCCTATTGGCTCAGGCTTATAATTATCTAGTTCTTACAGCTTAACCCATAATTCTCATCTATGTTTAGCCACATGACTTGGTACCTTTTCTCAGTAAGACATTCGCATCTTGTTTCCTCTGCTTCTCAATGATGACTGCAACTCTACTTTTCCTCTTCCCAGAATTCTCCTAGTCTGGTCCCCAAGCCTATACTTCCTGCCTGGCTACTAGTGAGTGAATCAGAGTTTTAATAAACCAATATGAGTGACAAATCTTTACAATGTACAAGAGCATTATCCCACAGCATTGTTCCCTGTGGCTTGCTCAGCCTGCTTTCTTGTGCCATCTAGGATCATCTGCCCACAGTTGGTACTACCTACAGTGAGCTAGGCACCCCACAGCAACTATCAAGAAAATGCTGTTTAGTTTTGCCTCCAAGACAATCTGGTAGGGGCATATTTTCTCAGGTGAGGTTCCTTCTTTCCAAATGACTCTAACCTGTGCCAAGTTGACATAAAACTAGCCAGCACACTCTAGTTCCAGTGTATTCCCCAGAAGGTCTTGTGCTAATGAGAAGTTATTCAATGCAGCAGTGTTGGAGATGGGCCCTAGTGGGAAGCTCTTGAGTCATAGGGTCAGGTACCCTGTGGATGCTTTTCTCATGTGTCTGGGTTAATTCCTGAAGGACTGGATTGATTATCTTGAGAAGGGTTACAACCTGAAGCAATCGCTAACGTTTTTTTTATTCTACACATGCTCACTTCCCTTCCTCTTCCATCCTGGCACTGGCTGCATGAGGCCATCACTTGATCTTGGACTTCCCAGCCTCCAGAACTGTGAGACAGAACTTTATTTATTATAAACTGTAAACCGAGTCCCAGGGATGGCTTTACAACAAGACCAGGACTTCCAAGAAGTGGTAATTTTTTTTTTTTGGCACCTCAGTCATGCACCTGTTCTGAGTTTTGGTCTTTGGTTTTTGGTTCAGTTTGGTTTGGCTTGGTTTGATTTTGCTGTGTAGTCTTCACTGCCCTGGAACTCTCTCTGTAGACTAGGCTGGTCTCAAACTCATAGAGATAGATCTGCCTGCCTCCCAAGTGCTGGAATTAAAGACATGCACCATCATACCCATCTATGCCATAAATTTTTATCTAGTATTAAACAGGATTCATACCTTAGCAAGTCAGGAACAGACAGTAAGTAAGCACTTCACAAAAGTCAGTCTGGATAAACATGGGTTTTTCAGGCCTTCAATGGTCATGCCATTAAAACAACAGGTGGTTTCTAATTAGGATTTAGAATTTTTTAATTATTGCATTTCTTTAGTGTGTATGTATACACATAGTTGTGTCATGGGGTGCACATGGAGGTCAGAGGACAACTTATGGGGGTCAGGTCACCTTTGACCATGTGGGTCCAGGGGATCGGACTCAAGTTTTCAGGTTTTTCAGCACTGAGCCATCTTGTCAGCCCTAGAGTTCTTTCTGTTTAAGACAAAATGTGGTAGCCTTCATCCTCTCCCATCCTCTTCACAACTTTATTTTCATGTCATTGTAGACAAAGTACCTAACCAAAGGAAGACAAGGTTTCCTTTAGAGCATAGTGTCAAGGGTTTGAGCTCTTCGGTGCAGGGAAGGCACGTAGGTGAGAGCGTACGATGGCTGGGGGAAGGCAGCAGAATAGCGTGGATTGGGGACCCAACTACAATCTCTGAAGGCCCACCCCTGCTAACTGAATCCTGCCAGCGAAGTTATACTTCTCGAAGACTCTACTGCATCCCAAAATAATGCTACCAAATGGAGAACATGTGTTGAAAACATGAGCCTGTAGGGGACACTTCAGATTCAAAGCATTACATTTATTCTCGAAGCTCATGGCCATTCCATAATACATAAGGTATTTAGCCTAGCTAAGAGGTCTTGAAATCCTGACAGTTCCAAAAGTTAGAAAAGTCCAAATTCCCTTCTGAAACTCAAGGGAAAATTTTTTAATTGTGAACTGCTGCAAAATGAAGAAATTATATACTTCCACTATACAATGCCAGAGTAAACATTCCCATTTCAAAAGGGAAGCAAATATTGGACCAAAGCCTAGCAGAGTCAGCATTAAATCCAACAACTCTGTTTCTAGTACCCAGGGTAGTTGGTGGCATCATTCATACTCAGATAGCCTCGGCCCTTTGACCTTACCCATGGTGCAGCACACATTGCCTCTATTAGTCCAGTGCCACTTAGTGCTTTGTAGTTTTCTTCAGTCACCCTATGTTCCTGGCATCTCTAACAACCTAGGGTCTCCATTGCTACTCCAGCTTCTCCCTTAGTGTTTCACACATGGTGTCTTAGTTAAGGTTTCTACTGCTGTGAAGAGACATCACGACCATAGCAACTCTTTTTTTTAATATTTATTTATTATATATACAATATTCTGTCTGTATGTATGCCTGAAGGCCAGAAGAGGGCACCAGACCTCATTACAGATGGTTGTGAGCCACCATGTGGTTGCTGGGAATTGAACTCAGGACCTTTGGAAGAGCAGGCAATGCTCTTAACCACTGAGCCATCTTTCCAGCCCCCCATAGCAACTCTTATTTAAAAAAAAAACATTTAATTGGATAGTTTACAGTTCAGTAAGATTTTGTCTACTAATCGTGATGGGACATGGTATCATGCAGGCAGATATGGTGCTGGAGAAAGAACTGAGAGTTCTACATCTTGATCCACAGGCAACAGGAAGTAAACTAAGACACTGGTTGTAGCTTGAGCATAGGAGACCTCAAAGCCTGTCCTCACAATGACACACTTCCTCTAACAAGACTACACTTACTTCAACAAAGCCATTCCTCTTAATAGTATCACTCCTAGTGAGCTTATGGGGTACAATTATATTTAAACAATAACACGTATCTTATACTAGAGTTCTGACCTCAAATTCACAGAGACCTGCCTGCCTCTGCATCCCAAGTACTGGGATAAAGGTGTGCACCAACACCACCTGGCTTGGTCTGTTACTTTTGCATTGATCCTTACTCAAATGTTCAGTGCTTGAACAAAACAGAGACAAATTCTTTGCCACTTTTGCCATGATGTCAGACCCTAGTGTCTCATCCAATTCTCAGTCGAGTTCTTGTTTCCGTTTGAACACTGTGGGCTGTCTCCATTGTCTGTGATCCTGTTGGTGCTTCAGTCTCCCAGACCCCCACCAAAATCACTCATTACACTAATTTACAGCATTCTCTAGCCCATGCCCCCACACTCTTCTGCATTCGTCTTGAAAATCAGTTTCTAAGAACCACATAGCTAGGCTTATCAAAGCAAGAGACTTTCCTATCTGGTCCCATTTTCCTTATTAATTATCATTGTGCTACTGGCAAAATTACCTGGCAGAAAAAAAAGAAAAATCAAGATCAGGGGCTCTTGCCAGGAAGAAGTTACCAAGTCCAATGTGAATTATAAGAGTATTTTATACTCCCCCTCCCGCCCCCAACTCCACGCATGCAGGCTGTCTGGAGTATATATCTTCAGCTGTGGCTATAGCGGTCTACTGCAGCTGCTGGAATGTCCTCAGAGTGATTATGGAGTGTCCCAACAAGCTGGCTAGCCATGAGGCCAGTTTGGCTGGCCGCTTGCCTAGCGGTCATTTAGTCAAAGCAGCTGGGGCAGCAGGGAAGAGGGTCTAACAGCTGTCATGAAGTCTCATCACTCCAGTCCCCAATGATTTAGCCTATTTAAAGGAGAAAAAAAAAACATTAAAGGGAGTGGTCAT